GACTTTAAATGCAGTCTGAATGTGACAGTAATGCAGAACAGTAACTGAGACGATTAGGACTAATGTGTATAGGAAGGTCAAGGCCTTTATGTTAAGCTATCGGTCACAACAGTGCAGTAAAGTCATCCTTATATGAAGTCAACCATTGATTGGTATAGAGTTAATGACCACGGTATGTTTAACACAGCTGTTTAACACAGATATGGTCAATTAGTGTGTCGTAAAATGTACAATCATTGATTCAAAATAAAATAACAGATGAAACTTGATGAATAGGGAAAGAAAAGAAAGCAATACATTTGACCATAATTCGGATCTTACTTTATTATCCAGTCTCTAAAATGAAACAAGGAAATTTGTTAAAATGCATTTCCTTAAACAATGACAAATAAATAAAACCGACAAGACTGTAAGAAATTTTAAGGCAAAATCTATTTACAAAACCTTTATGTGTGCGACCGTGATTCCATCGCAAAATGAGATGCGTTCGCTTTGCATCTGCACATTCAATACAAAAAAGAAAATCGACGAAAGCTTGATTGAATCAATTCAAAGAACACAAAAGCCCTAAATTTGTACACAGATCTTCTATGTCGATAACATTGACTCTAAACTCATTTGGGAACTCGTGGGCGTAGCAGATTGAATTCATTTTGCTATTGATTACCAAATGCAGGAAAATGAAAACTTTAAATAAAAGACAAAAAAGCAAAAGAAAGAAACAATAAGTAAAATGATAGTTCTGTCAGCGCTTGATTTACTAAGGTATAAATTTTTGCAAATCTATTAGCAGATAGTTTAGATATTGTTTACCAAAAGCATATGAAAGCGACATTTTGCTACAATTTGCAACGTTTTCAGTTTTGAAACGTACATAATTTTACGTCTTGTAGTAAAGTGCGATAATCTGGGATCACAAATGACACAGGAGTCTATAAGAATGAACTGTACTGCCGCCATCTTGAAAATATGACGTTTGGTGGTCTAAGGGAATTTCGTGTTTAAATGTTTATAGGCTTAACATTAGATGATACCTAAGATCAATGAACATTTAATATTAACCTATATGATTGACATCAAGTGTTTGTATGGGTACAGGAGGAATGATAATTTAAAAATGATCAAAGCATTTACATAATTTGGCTGACAAAATTGACGCCTACAGAGCAACACCACTAACTTATGATCAGCACCCCACACGTACAGACTAGCACCTATAATTACTTGCCAACACTTGCATCTACTAGCCAACATTCTCTTTCTGACCAGTATGATTGCTTATGAAGGAACACACATACTCACCTAAATGCTGTCTGACGGTCCATTACCCATATTTACCGACCAACACCCAGACCTTTAAACATTCTTTTATTAAAATCGGTTTCTCTCGTTGGGCATGACTGATTACTTCCCACAAGGTATATATATAAATCGGTTTCTCTCGTTGGGCATGACTGATTACTTCCCACAAGGTATATGTGTGTGTGTGTGTGTAATGAGTCGCGAGTGACGGAATTTTGTGCCCTATCCTCTCACTCATATCTATGTGCACTTCACACTTCTTAATTGAAATATCTGGACGTGGACAGCAGGTGAAAGGATGGGATGATACCCATGCACACGAAGGCAACTTTATTATACTAAAATTAATTTTGATCTCAATTGCCGATAACATAAAATGCTGTCTAGTTACAATTCTGAGTTACTAATTCTGTGAAACAATGACTAGGACCACAGCGGTTGCTGCTTTGTATAATTTTATAATTATTTAAGAATTTTAAATGTTGGGGTCTTATTGTAAAGTATTTAACCCGCCTTGTGCGAAGGGAGTTAGCGGAAGGTTGTCTGCATTTTATATTCTAATTTGAGGCTCTAACTACACTCTTATTTATTTCATTGCAGCTGGGACTGATTTTTCTGGGTAATATGCCACCTTACATTTCTTCATTTCAGGTTTTACACAAGGTTCTAAATTATTTTCGTGCCTCATCGCAAAGCTGGGAATGATGGTCATAAGATTTGTTCACTTTATAGAGATAGTGTTAGTTTTATCTAATCAGTGTCATATTTCTAGTCTATGGATACCTGATGGCATGCAGTATGCCAGTGTTTTTTTTTCTGGTTATGTTAGTTAGATAAATGTTGCCACAATTTATCAGATGTTAACACTTGTGGTAGAAGTTTCATGTAAGAAGAGATGTTAGTGATTAGCCTACTCTATCCGGACGATTAGTTATTGCGATGCTAGCGGCTATTTCTCTTGTTGTCTTTATGTGGAATATAGAACAATGCCTTATCTGATGGTTATTAATATTGTATATTTAATTTTATTGTTTGTCTGTTAGTTTTAAAAACCCACATTTTATTACATGTTATTGTATTGTGACATTGCTTACCGAACTTGACCTTGTCCAAACTGTGGTTCATTTCTTCTTAATCTGATTAACTTTTTGTTTTAAGTTATGATATCACTCCCAGGTCAGAAGGCGTCTTAGTAAGAGAAACAACATAAAGATAGATGCTGGTTCTGAGTCTACGCACATACAGATACAAGCCCTGTGTGACCTAAATACTCTTCTTCTTCATAGTTCGATGTCAAACCTGTTCACTAGTAGTTAATTTTACTTACCAGCACAGACCGTTTGACTTAGAACTAACAGAGGGAAGGAAGTCCTTTTAAGCAAATGCTTCTTTGTGACTGCACGTCTAAAAGCAATACTGATGCAATTATTTTTACTGAAGAAATTGTATAAACGAACGCTACTAATTGATGCTGTTCATCAAATAAATACTTAATAACTTCTACAAGCTTTATCAAAATTGAAAGCCTAGGAATAAACAATAGTTGGTATGATTTATATATCCATTCAGCTATGGTCTATTGCTGAAACAAAGGCCATGTATTGATTCCTTTATCCGCCTTGCTCCACGATAAGTTTCTCAATACCGTTCACATTCTGGAAAAATCGGGTGTAAAGTTTATCCAAGTTGCATTGACTACTACTACTACTACTACTACTACTACTACTACTACTACTACTACTACTGCTGCTGCTACTACTACTACTACTACTACTCTCTCTCTTTCTCTCTCTCTCTCTCTGATCGTAAAAGAAAGTGAATTTATGATTGGGTTAGAAATAAGCATGCTAAAGTTTTCATAATCAGTCTAAATTATCACCTTTTATCACTGTACAGGCTTTCACAAGTGTAATACTAACTCATACATCCTGAGGAATCGAGAAACGATAAAGTGGAAAACAATCTGTTAGAATTTTACAGTTGAGTCCTATTGTATGCACTAAATCGGTATACCTTTTCTAGCACTATTTTGCGTACCGTACACCTGTGATTGTGACGTTCTCAAAAGTATTAATTTCAAAGTATGTTCTACTGTGGTGTTAGAACGTCACTAAACCGTCATACAAAAGGAAACAAAGACACTAAATGGTACAGTCATGATATTGGGTTTATCTTTGACGATACTATCTGCACAGGTTTTACATGTTCCATGGTCCCTGGAATATGTGATAAAAGGGTTTCTTTGGATTAAGCATTCAATAAAATGGTTGTTGGGATTGGGCATTTAATAAAATGGTCTGTTGTGATTAGGCATTTAATAAAATGGTCTGTTCGAATATGGCATTTAATAGAATGGTCTGTTGTGATTAGGCATTTAATAAAATGGTCTGTTCGAATATGGCATTTAATAGAATGGTCTGTTCGAATAAGGCATTTAATAGAATGGTCTGTTGTGATTAAGCATTCAATAAAATGGTCGGTTGTGATTAAGCATTCAATAAAATGGTCAGTTGTGATTAGGCATTTAATAAAATGGTCTGTTGGAATAAGGCATTTAATAGAATGGTCTGTTGTGATTAGGCATTCAATAAAATGGTCTGTTGGAATTCGGCATTTAACAGAATGGTCTGTTGTGATTAGGCATTTAATAAAATGGTCTGTTGGAATTCAGCATATAATAGAATGGTCTGTTGGAATAAGGTATTTAATAGAATGGTCTGTTGTATTTAAGCATTCAATAAAATGGTCTGTTGTGATTAGGCATTTAATAAAATGGTCTTTTGGAATAAGGCATTTAATAGAATGGTATGTTGGAATAAGGCATTTAATAGAATGGTCTGTTGTGATTAGGCATTTAATAAAATGGTCTGTTGGGATTAGGCTTTTAATCAAATAATCTGTTGGGATTAGGCTTTTAATCAAATTGTCTGTTGGGATTAGACATTTAATAAAATGGTCTGTAATAATTAGGCTTTTAATAAAATGGTCTGTTGGGATTAGGCATTTAATAAAATGGTCTGTATGATTTAGGCATTTAATAGAATGATCTGTTGGGATTAGGCATTTATTAAAATGGTCTGTAGGATTTAGGCATTTAATAGAATGGTCTGTAGGATTAGGCATTTTATAGAATGATCTGTAGGATTTAAGTATTTAATAAGATGGTTTGTAGGAAGTAGGCATTTAATAAAATGGTCTGTAGGAATTAGGCATTTAACCCAATGCTGTATCCTGTTACCAGTGAAGTATTTACAGCACGTTGACACTTTAACTTTGTTTTACCTACAGAGACTTAAAAGCCAATAATACATTAACATCCATTGCAAGTGTAATGAAACCGTTAATGGCGTATATAGTTTTATAGGCTAATGTAAATGGAATCTACCACTAAAATGTTCTGTCCATATTTTATTAATATTAACAAGTTTTGCTGTTTTAATTATTTGTTTTTTTTTCCAGGGCTCATTGTACAAATTTTGTCATATTTATGTCTATCAAGACAAAATAATTTAAAAACTTGTTTTCTTTGTAAATCGTATGCTCTTACAATTACTATTTCCAATCATTACTCCTGTTGTATCCGTGGTTGTATCTATAAGCAACATAATTCCATAATATCAGGTTTTATCATCCTAAACACCCAGCTCATTCTTTGATTGTGAATCACATCACTGTAGCCTAGTTCTCTTTTATCTACCACTCAGGTGGCCTTGTGGTTAGAGCGTCCGCCTTGGATGCGGGAGGTCGTGGGTTTCATCCGCGGCTGAGTCATAACAAAGACTTATAAAAATGGTACTATCACCTGTCTCGCTTGGCGCTCAGCATGAAGAGGTTAGTGTTAAAACTTGTAGGCCTGGTGTCAGGATAATGTGACTAAGTGGGACATCATGCTATATGTCTGCGGCATGATGTCCCAGTGCTAGACATGAATCTAAACTGCGACACTGCAGACATCGTGGCAATATGACTGAAAAATGGTAAAACCTAAATTGAGGAATCCAAATCACACACACATATATCTTATAATTATGCGTTTCTTATTTCATATAAATATTAGATTTTTTCTTACCATCTAATGAACAAACACAAAATTTGGCTCTCTAATTCAGTGTAGAAGTCATTATTAATATCACTCCCGTCATTAAATGTTTAATAACCAAGTTATAAAGGAATTTGTTTGAGTCTGATTGTTTGATTTGAATGACATTTATTTCACACATCTTACTAGTGTATCCTGTTTTCAGCAAGATATGACGGCGGAATATCTCTGTGCAATAACAAAATCGTTATCTTGGTTTTAAACATTGCTAAGAGACATTAATAATATTAATTCAAACTGCTCATTTCAGAACATATTTCGTACTTTCGCATTACTCTATCGTGATTCGTTCCTCATCATATTATTTCGTAACTACTTTAGAATGTTTAATCTCAGATGAAGCTAGATTTAAAGTTCAAGGAGGATAACATATTTTATAAGATTTAACCTTTTCACCAAAATAATTAATTTGTAAATGGTCTGTCTTTATCCATATTACTGCACGTTCTTTAATATTTATTTTATTTATGACGTCCTATGTGTTGATAATTATTACTGTTAAATTAATTTGTTTCTGCAACTAATACATGGCACGGATGCAATAAATTGTTGTTTTGTTGAATGCCAATCTCCGTCTTTCTCTGTCTACATGTCTTTCTCTCCTTGTCATATGGATTCAGCATATGTTGTGCCATGCATATGCTTCACCGATTTAGGATGTACTGTTGTGTATTTGATTGAACCATTTTATCAAGCATGACATTGAAAATATAATCGTACTATGCATGTATGCAGATTATGTTGTATTTGATAAATGAGTATGCATTTATTGTGTAGATGCTGGTTGAAATATTGTTTAAGTTTTAATTTTTATTATAAGAGCATTTGCTGTGTCTTAGTCCAACAGGCAATACAATATCTTCGTCGATATTCCCGATTGAATATTGACAAATCGTATAGCTTCATTGGCATTATGAAAAGCATTCTCCAAGCAATGGTAAGGTCAGAGTATATGTTGCACTGTGTCACGGTCTACCTAGGTGGACGCATGTTTATCCAACTGACACTATCCGGTGTTTGATCTGTGGACAAACGCCGCGAGCAAGAAGCCAAGCCAAACGTAGTTGCCAGAATGGTTCTTTGTGCAGAACAGGGCATCGTAAATTACACCTGGGTGCTAATCATTTAGTAGGACATCAAAAGAGCAATTTGTAATAAAATGGTAGATAAATTATATTGACAGTTCCGCTAAATCACAACTTGGGAATGGTTAGTCCACCATATCCAATCAGAATTAAGCTAGTGGGTGGGCATACCTCTAAATTTCGAGGATATCAAACTGACTCCATCCCAGAATTATTTAGTAGACAGAGGCAGATTACTAGGTGATTGAATGATTAAGGCTACTCCGAGATACGCACTCGTAAATTTGGCGTGAATCGCAGGGAAAAGTTTGGAACAAAGAAATCTTAAAGAAGGTAGATATTCGTTTGTTTTTTGACTCACACATTGCAACGCCGTAACTGTAAGTACTGATATTATGTTTACGCAATTACTAATAGTATTGTTATAATGAAGAATTACTTTGTAGAGTTTCATTTCTGTACTTATTTGAGATTTGTATTGGAGTTAGGAAATGATTGATGTAAGCAAGATTATGAATGTATGTTTGAATATGTTCAGAGCATAGATAGTTGCATACTTATATATTTCTATGATTTGTGATGCAAAATAGATGTGTTGGTTATTATGTACTGATGTTAATCAATTATCGTTGCCTGTATACGAATAATTGATATCGTGCTTTATGATGTATTATTATGTTATGATTTTACATTGTGTTTACCATTCATGAATATATGAGTATTTCGGTGGGAATGGATACGTGACCCATGAAATTAGATAGCCTTGTCTGATGATAAGTTATCTGGGATTAGTGTGAGTGTATGTGCCAAGCAAAATAGTACACCCTCCTTGTGTATTACAGGAAGCTTTCTGGGTGGGATAACTTCAGTTAGAAGGAGAGTCCCGAGATTCTGGTTGAGAAGACTGAAGTAAGACTGTCGGTACAGTCAGGGTCGACGGATTGGAGTCGACGGTTCGACGAGGAAGTCGACGGAAAAGGAAGTGGAGGTGTAGAGGAAATTCGAAAGAGCAAAGGAGGAGTAGAAGTGGAGAGGAAAGTCGAAGGGGTAAAGGAGGAGTGCAGGATAAATTTAGAGAGACAGTTGAGTATAACCAAGGACAGGGCGAAATTCTCACACTGATTCAGATGATGAAATAGGCACAAAAGATTCGAGCGATTGGGAAGCTCGCATGTTGAAGTTTTACTATTAATTAAATTGTTTTATTTAATTCCACCCCTTTGTACTTTTGTATTTAACTGTTTAATTTTACCCTTTAGTACTTTTGGATTTAACTGTCGGCATTGCTGACTGGGGGCTCAGAACCTTATTCACCTACTTAACTTCTGAACCATAATCGAGCCTGGTTGGGTGCCATACCTAAATAAATATTGGAAACACCCCTCCATATTTTCATATAACCAAAACCATACACGGGTATAAAAATAATTAATTAAACCCCATAACACTCAAGGGTATAACTAAACCCTATCGTAACACTGGGCGCTCCGTCCGAGATTTGAATTAGACTTAAAGTATTATTTATTAGGACCTAGGAGGGAAAGTTGTGAGATTTTCCATCCTGTTATTTAATTTTATGATTTTGAAATTGTGTATGTTATATTTTGATATTTGCGTGTGTGGTATATTGCATTTACTTGCAATAATTGTGAGGCAAATATCGAGCGAAATATCTTACCCGACCGAAGATAGTCCTTCTCAACAGGTGAGTATTTGTTTAGTAAGTCGACACAGGGTATTAGTATAATCATAAAATGACTACGGAAAGGAAGATGGTGAAAGAGTATCGCGCCATGGGCAAGGACGATCTAGGTTACGAGGGAGATCGCCTGGCAACATTTATTGAGGAGAGACTCAAAGAACGGAAGACCGAAAAGGCAGCTGAAAGAGAGCTGGAGTTGGCAAGGATGGTAGCGGATAGAGAGGTCCAGAAAGAGTTGGAACTGGCCAGGCTAGCCCACGCTCTTGAAATGGAAAAGTTATGGGTAGAAGCGAGATCAGCCGATAGGAACAACTCCGGTACGAATTCTGGAGTGAGCGGGCGACCGATTGTCGACCAACGAATGGTACAGATAAATATGCCTCGTTTCAACGACAAGGAAGAGTCCATTGACGACTTCCTTGTGCAATTTGAAAAACTCGCGTGCGTTCATAAAATTCCCGAGCCACATTGGGCGATTAATGTCATAGCCTTTTTGCAGAGTGTCGCTCGAGAAGTTTACCATAACTTATCCGCAGACGAGGCCGACAATTATAAAGCACTGAAGAAAGCTCTTCTTTGACATTATCGGTTAACCGCCGAAACGTACCGTAAACTTTTTTCGGGAGTCGACGAAGAAGGCAACTGAAACTCACTCTCAATTCTACACTCATGTTCGAGTGTTATATGAGAAGTGGATGAAGATGGCGGAAGTCGAACGATCGTACGACGGGTTATGCGAGGTCATACTCAAGGAACATGTCCTAAGTACTTACTGTCGCGAGTTGACATTATTCCTAGCGGAAAGAGAGCATGTGACTCTCGAAGAGATCGCTAGTAGGGCGGAGAGTGCAGGCGCACTCGAAGAGTGGGAGTTCCGGGGGTACTGACCGACCCCGACCCACTGAGTCGCGTCGGGTGGTTGGTAGAGAACCGACTGTCCGTAACCGTCATGGCAACGGGAAGGTCGGAGGTAGATCTACAGGTAGGGATGCCACCCATAGACCTGAACAGACTTCAGCTACGGGTCTTGCAGGACGGCGGGGGCCGCCGTTGTGTTACAACTGCAAGCGCCCGGGGCATTTTGCAAAGGACTGTCCCAAGGGCAGGCAGACCCAGGTGAATGCCGTTGCTCGAAAGAAGTGCGAGATGGAGGCCAGCTGTTCCCCAGCGAACCTCGCGTCTGCAACTGTCAACGGAGAAGGTGCCACTCTCTTGTACGACACGGTGTGTAGCGTTCCCGCCCTTGGCGACAAGAAATACGTAAAGCCTGAGGGTTATACAGGGGAGGTAATCGAGGTTCAGTACGCGAACAGCGCGCGTGACTTGCATGCAGTAGCTGTCATTAACCTTGATTCACCATACGTGAAGGGGGAAATTGAGACTGCGTGCGTGGATGGGCTATCACATGACGTCATACTGGGATGTCGTTACGTGTTGCCGCAACCGTAACTCCGAGACCTGTACACCGAAGCCGGTGAGTGCGGTAGAAACCAGGGCCCAGGGTCGTCAGACGAAACCGAAGCCGTTGCAAGTTACGTCAACACCGGTCAGTAACGTACTTTCGGCCGAGTTGAGAAAGCTTCAGCTGGAAGACGCCACTCTAGCGCAGTTGCATAAACACGCTACAGAGGGAATGGAGAAAGAAACTCCGAATGGCGCGGTGAAGTTCGTATACAAGAAGGGAATATTGTATCGCCACGCCAAGAAGGGGAATGAACTCTATAAGCAAGTGGTCATGCCCAAGGAGAAGCGAGTTGAAGTGTTGAAACTCGCTCATAAGAGTCTCATGGGAGGACAAATGGGAATTGCCAAGACGCATGACCGTCTTGTCAAAGAATTCTACTGGCCAGGGGTTTAGGGAGACCTTTAGCGGTTCTGTCTATT